TTCTCGCTGGTGTAATTTTCCACCTAGGCATATTGCACGAGAACGCCACGACGTGGGCGAGCCAGAACCAATATTTTTGAGTACTAGCCAAGTTTGTTTGACTAGTGTCATTCCCGTAATTCTAGCCATTTGACCACAATGCTTCCCTATATAAATGCTCACATTGGAGCCAACCAATTTTGAACCAAGTAACAGAATCCTCTACTCCTCTTTTCTTCTCTTCCTTGCTTGCACAAACCATCCAAATGGCGGCTAACCGGATGCGTGCAGTTCAGTTTGATGGTTATGGGGGAGGAGCTGCAGCTCTCAAGGTAATTATCATCATCATTCTCATTAATTCCTCTTTTCTTCTTCTTGTTTAAGTTTTGATTTCGGGATTGGTTTTTAGTTTAGATTGCCAAGGTAATGAAAATTAGAATCTAGTAATTGTACTAATAGCTCCAAGAAAACTAACATAATGATATGATGATGAGAGGTGTGTTAATCTCACATTAATTGATAAATTATGGATAAAAAATAATTAATCTTAAATTTATTTAAATAATTTTTTTATTTTGATTGTACAACAAAATACAACTCTCTTTTACCCTTTAGTAAATTTAAGAGATTTTAAGTTCAAATTACATAATACATAGATAAAATAAATTTAAAAATAAAAAAAAAAGTTATCTCCAATTGTATATTAAAAAAAAAAGATTTAAACATAATCTTTTTATACAACCTTATGTATCATTTAATGATTTGTTTTAAAGCAGAATATCCAAATCCACCCCCAAAGTATAGTGACAGGGACGGATTCACCCCTGAACAAAAAACGGAAACAAATCCACCCACAAAGTTTTTTACTTAGACAAATCACCCAAATTTAACGTATGATGTCATTTGACATCAGCAATCTGTTAATTTGACGCTATCTTATATCAGCAATCGGTTAATGAATTAATGGATTGTTAATATTAGATGATGTTACACGTTAAATTTGAAGTGATTTATCTAAGTCGAAAACTTTATGGGTGGATTTGCCTCTTTTTTTATTCGGGGTGAATCCGTCCCTACCACTATACTTTGGGGGTAAATTTTGGTATTTTACCTTGTTAAAAATTTTTTTTTTTTGAACTTTTTGTCATGGACGGGTTCGAAACCCGTTCAGGAGAGGAGGATATGCACTTTTTCAATGGTACTAGCCATTGGGCCACAAGGGCCAAGTGCACCTTGTTTTAAATTTCATTCAAGGTTCATTGGAATATAGTATGGACCATGATTGACACACACCAATTCATACAACGCTGCTATTACACACTCTTTTTTCCATTAATTTTCACACTCTGTTAATCTCCATTTCACTCACACTGTGATCCCTCCTTCTTCCCTTTTTTTTTTTTTTCTCCCGGGTTCTCGAGAGAACCCAGACCTAGATTCTCCGAGAAGAACCCAAATTGGGTTTTGCAACCTAGACACAGCATTGGGGTTCTACATCTAGGTTACAAAACCCAAATCGGGTTATGCAAGAACCCAGATCGGGTTATGCAAGAACCCAGATCGGGCTCTTCGGATACTCTTCAACATTTTAAGCAACATTAGACCTCATTAAATGAAGAAAAATGCTAAATTAATTGATGTAAGCCCAATTGAAACTGTCCCAGAAAATCAATTCCCAATTACAGACATTTCAACAATGGAAAATGCAAACTACCAGAAAAGCATTTCAAGTTTAACGCCAGTTAATCAGCTATAAGGAACCAAAAACCAGTTACAAAACCCATTGGCAGAAGCAAACAAGAAAGCATCTTACATACATTCCTAACATAAAGTCGTACCAACGAGAAGCACGAGACGCTTGGCAGGGGACCTGAAGCGCGGAGTGACGAGATCCATTCCATGAACAATGGGGGTCTTGAAGTAGATGTCGAAGATGCTGAGCTTCCCCTTCTCTCTCCATTCTCCATTGTCGGCTATCTCTTCCTTCTCTGATGTCAGTTCTCTTCTTGCCCCTTAATCTCCCTCGTTGGCTCAAGCCTTTCCTCTCCAGTCTAGTTGTTTTCCTTTCCATAAAATCCACTACCAATCTCTATCCTCAACAGATCTTGGCATCCTCTCACCCTTGCCTCTCTCTTTCTCTCCGTTGCTAAGCCTTTCATTCATGCCTTCTTCCTCATCTAATTGAACCATGGAATGTCTAATGTTCTAGATCTAGGTTTGCAAGAACCCAATCTGGGTTCTAGGAGTGGAGAAGAGAAGGAAGGAGAGGGGGAGGAGAGAGAAAGAAAATCAAATAACCAGGGCTAGGTGAAGAGGAGAGCCATTGGGTTAACCAAAGAAACAGAGATAAACGGAGACAAACAGAGATGGAGTGTGTGTGATGGAGGGTGTGACAACGGAGTGTGTATTCATCATTTTCCATATAGTATACGTCCATTGGGATATGATAGTAGGGAATAAAGTTATGGCCATTATTAATTTTATTAGGATTATTAAATTTTTTATTTTGATGTAATTGTTAAAAATAATTAATAATTAATAAAATAATTAATATTATTATTAAATAAATTAAAATAAAATTTAAATAATTATTTTTAAATATTG